CCTGCGCAAGGGCGTCATGGCCCCGAGCCTCGCCGAGCTGCTGTGCCAGGTCTGTCTGTCTGTCCGGGCTCTGTCTGTCTATCCGGGCTGTGTCCCCAGCCCTGCTCACCCCCAGCCCCTCGGCAGGCTCAGAGCGCCCTGGCCCTGCTGGCGCCCATCGTGCTGGTGCTGGATGAGGATGGCACCGCCGTGGAGACAGAGTCCTTCTTCCGGACGCTGGAGGAGGGCACGGCGCTGATGGCCCTGAGCAAGGGACAGACCTGGACTGCCCCCAAGGTGAGGGAAGCCCTGAGAGGAGTGGGAGGCTGGTTTTCCCATCTGTCCCACGCTGGAGGTGGGTGACTGTGGTCCTGCTCTCTTCCCTAGACACGTGGCTACCAGGTGAGTCTGTCCCGCAAGCCCCCGCGCAGGATCGACGTCGCCTGCGTCACCTTCGACCTGTACAAGACCCACCCGAAGGACCTGGGCTGCCTCAACGTCAAAGCCACCCTGTATGGCACCTACAGCATGTCCTACGACCTGCGCTGCTACGGGGCCCGGCGCCTGGTGAAGTGAGTGTGGGGACAGCCCGGGGACAGGGACGCTGCCCAGCCCTTCCCTGGCACGCTGACCCCTTTCTCCCCGCCCAGGGAAGCCCTGCGCTGGGGGCTGTTCACCATGCAGGCCACGGGCCACGTCCTGCTGGGCACCTCGTGCTACATGCAGCAGCTCCTGGATGCCACCGAGGAGGAGCAGAAGGAAGAGGAGAAGAGCCCGCTGCCCCTTCAGAACCTCCTGCCCTGCAGCCTCCCCGCCCTGCCCTACAAGAAGATGTCGCAGTGAGGGTTGGCTGGCCTGGCCTGTCCCCTCTGCTGTCCCCCCATCCTCGGGGGTCCCAGCACCCCGCTAGGTCAATGCCTGGGCTGAGGCTGCCGCGGTGCCTGGCACAGCCTCTCCTTGCACTCTGCTGGCTGAGTGTGGCCAAATCTGCTCTGGAATAGCTGCTGCTCTGTAAATATATTTATTTAAGTAAAGTTCTCCCGAATTCAGCTGCATTTTGTGTCATGTTTCTGGGGGGGAACGACACCCAGCACACCCAGCCCTTGCACTACTTGGCACCCTGAGCTGGTGCTGTAAGAGGTGTGAGGAGGGGACCTGTTGCAAGCTCTTCCCCAGGGGAGCTGCTGCCTCCATCCTCCTCCTCCTCCTCCTCCCTGGCACCAGAGCCTGGCTCCCACCCCCTGGCACAGCGCCGAGACGCTGCTGGCACTGCAGGCACCCACAACAGTGATGGGGCAAAGCCCGGAGCCCCTGCCCTGGGACAGCTGGCACCACGCCTGTCCTCGCTCCCTGTAAAGGAGTGAAAGCTCTCCCTGCCCCCTGTGCCCCGGCCGGTGCAGGGCTGGCACAGAGGGACAGCCCCCGTGCCCTGGAGGGGGTGTTCCTGGCCCTGGGGTCCCCGTTGGCAGCCCTGGGCAGGGCTGTGGTCGCTGTGCCCACGCCAGCCTTGCACAACGCCTGGCGCTGGCCTGGCAGGGGCATCATCCAGGGCATCCCGAGGGCCTGGCAGCTCCAGAGAGATCAGCTGGGAAACAAACAGAGCTGGGGGCACTGGGCTCCAGCGACCTGGCCCTTGGGGACTGTCCCCAAGNACAGCGGGGACGGGCTCTGCGGGCTGAGGGGGACAGCGGGGACAGCTGGCGTCATGCGGCCTGAGTGCGGCCGGGTGGAGCAGCGAGGTCTGAGCAGGGAATAGAGGCCTCAGTTTGAGGGGAACAGGGGCGGTCAGTGGGGTGTGGGGAAGGGTGAGGGGAAAGAGGCTGGGGCTGTGGTTTTGGGGTGCGAGCAGGACTGGGGCTGTGGGGCCGGGGAGAGGGGAACGGGCAGGATGTCGGGCTGTGGGGTCTGGATAGAGGTGAGGGCAGCACAGCAGAGCCGGGGGCAGTGGGGCAGACACTGGGGTGAAATGGGCTGGGCAGGAGCAGGACGGGCACAGTGTGAGGGTGCTCTGGGCTGTCCTGCTGCTGGGAGAGAAGGGTTTTCCTTGGAAGAGACAGGCACAGGCTCTGCCGGGACAGGAGAGCAGACACACCTGAGCCTTGTGTGGTGCCTGTGGAAATGGCTCTCCTGCCGTGGGGACAGCGGTGCTGCAGCGTGGGAAGGGGGCTGTGCTGGGAACATGAACAGTTAAACTGCTCTGACAGCAGCAGATCCCAACCAGTGTGATTTGCTCTGCTCCCAGAATTACCCCCTGTACATCCGGAGCGTCCCCACAGAGAACGAGCTGAAGTTCCACTACACCGTGCACACCTCCCTGGATGTGGTGGATGAGAAGATCTCAGCCATGGGCAAAGCCCTGGTGGACCAGAGGGAGCTGTACCTGGGGCTGCTCTACCCCACTGAAGACTACAAGGTGTATCTTTGTCATGCCTTTGGCCATTGTGGGTTTAATTGAATCACAGGATATCCTGAGCTGGAAAGGATCATCCAGTCCAACCCCAGCCCTGCACAGACACCCCAGCAATCCCACCCTGGGCCTCCCTGGCAGCACTGTCCAAAGGCTCCTGGAGCTCTGGCAGCCTCAGGGCTGTGCCCATTCCTTGGGGAGCCTGGGCAGTCCCCAGAACCTTTCCCTGATCTCCAACTAAACCTTCCCTGGCCCAGCTCCAGCCCTCCCCTGGGTCCTGTCCCTGCTCATAGTGAGAACAGCTCAGTGTCTGCCCCTCATGAGGAAGTTCCCTCATGTTTCCTCTCAGTTTGGGCACATTCCAGCCTGGTTTAGTGGCTGTGTGAGAATCCTTAACCCTGCCCAGGTACGGCTACGTGACCAACTCCAAGGTGAAGTTTGTCATGGTGGTGGATTCCTCCAACACAGCCCTGAGGGACAACGAGATCCGCAGTGTGAGTGCACCAGAGCAGAGCCACCTTGGTGGGTCTGCTCCTTCCAGCTCCTCAGGCAGTGCTGAGAAACAAAAAATTAATGACTTCACCCCCTCTCCCTTTTCAGATGTTCCGAAAGCTGCACAATTCCTACACAGACATCATGTGTAACCCTTTCTATAACCCCGGGGACAGGATCCATTCCAGGTGAGTGGGTTGTCCACATGGATCTGCCTCTTTGGCACCTTTCTGGAATTTTCAGGGCACCTCTGATGCAACAGGACTGACCCTGTGGTTGGCCAGTTCAGGTGTGTGTGCTCTAAGTGCTTTAATGAGAACAGTGATGTTGGTTTTGGGCCAATCTTACTCACTAAAAACTGATGGTGTCATAAAAAGTTATATTGAACTCACTCCTGCCTCAGAACTGAGGTCACAAACATTAAGGCAAGAAAATGTTTGGGTTTTTGGGGAGAAAAAATTACCTGAAAATAGAGGTAAGCAATACTGATGGCCTTAGAAGTCTTTTTCTAATTTAATAATAACCTCACAGGGAATTTTAATAAATTAGGAGTTTCTATGGCCTAGGCAAGAACAACTTTACAGAGACAGGGAAGCAGCGAGGGTAAGATCTTCTGCTTAATTAAAATTCATTAATCCCTCAACAGGCTGTGCTGTAAAGAGTAAAACCCTGTGTCCAGCTTAGGGAAAGCCAGGCAGAGGCAGGGTGAGAAAGTGGTTTTGTTACAAAAGCTGTGCTGTGCAGAGTGAGCTGCTTCCTTTAATGTGTTTGTTTTCCTCTCCAGGGCTTTTGATACCATGGTGAACTCCATGATGATGCAGGTGTGCTGAACCCCTTCCCACCCCCCTAGGAAACATTCCCTGTGTGCAGGAGCATGCCTGCAGTGCTGTAAATATTCCATTCTGTAAAATAATTTAAATTTATTCTGTGTAAAATAAACCTGACACCTGCAAGGTTTGCCTGGATTTGTACTCAAGCAAACAGAAACCACTGCTCACAGAATCATGGGATGGTTTGGGTGGGAAGGGACATTAAAGCCATCTCACTCCATGGGCAGGGACATCTTCCACTGTCCAGGATGCTCCAACCCCCTGGAACAAGAGGAGCTCTGAGGTCTCTTCCAACCCAAACTATTCCAGGATTTTCCCTGCCTGGGCTGATTTCTGAGTCAGTGTTTGCTGTTACCACTTTGTACCTCATCCAGACACACTCCACAGTGATTCCCAGCCCAGGTAGAGCAGCTGGAATAAACCCACCCAATCCAGCCAGGGATTAAGCCATCAGGATTGCACAGCTGCCTGGCTCATCCCAAATTAATCTCTATTAGCATCTCCTCCCCTGCAGCTCCCTGCTGTTCTAATTACAGACTCCCAAATCAGTAGCAGGTATTTATATGGAATAAAAGCACAAATTGCACTGGAAAAGCATCCCAGCTCCATCACTCCTGCTTCAGCAGAGGAGATGCAAGCAGGAGCAGGCACACACACCTCCACTGCAAAGCAGCTCATCAGTTAAAAACCACAGAAACCAGCTAAAAATAACAGATCTGCCCAGCCCCAGGGGATCCCAGGAGCCTGGAGAAAGCCAGAACTGCACACCAAGTTCACACAGCAGGATCATTTATTTTAAAAATAAGTAACAGTTTCAAATACTTTCTCAAACAGAACTTAAGTACATTTTATCAGCAACCACCTGGAATATCATGGGAGGTTCAAGCCTCTCCCACCACCTCCACAAGGCACAGCTGTGCACTGCTATCCACAAACATTTTCATCTAAAAGACTCGGCTGTTTTCACTCACAGAGATGGCAGCTCAGTGTTGCCTCTTCCACAAGAGAGTCTGAACACCCCAAAGTAGTTCTTTATTAAAAAATAAGCCTCAAAAATTTATAATCCTATCAAACAGAAGCCCTAGAAAAAGGTGGTTTATAGTCTAAGCCTAAGGGTAGCTTAAATCAAGGTCAGTCTCAGCAGCTCTGAGGACCATATCAACACAACATTAAGAGTTAAGGACCCAAGCTTTAAAAAATACCTAGAAATCTTAAAAGGAAAAAAAAAAAAGTTGGATTTTTAACCTAGCAATGCCCCTGAGGTCTGAAAAGCTGCTTTAGGAGTCAGTTGCATCTGGGTTAGAGGAATCCTAACCAAAGATCCCATAAGATTAGTGAGAGAATTAGATAATAAAACCTATTTAAACATAAAACATGCAGAACTTTCTCCAGGAATGCTGTCTGCAAAGGTTCCCAGCCTGTCTCTTCTAACACAAAGTTTTTCTTTTAAAAACACGTGGCTTCAGAGCCCATAAACACAAAATCAGCAGGAAAGGGCAGAGCCAGGAACCTTCTTCCCTGGTACCCAGCTCCTGTGGTGCTCTTTGGTCCTGAGCCTCCAGCAGGGCTCACACCATCCCCAAATGTGACTCCAGAGCAGGAAGGGTGATGGGAATGAAGAGGGAGACCAGATCAAAGTTTCACCAGTGAAGGTGATTTTGAAATGCTGCTACTGCAAGAAATAAAGTCAAATGAGGAGTTGTCAGAACCCTTTGGCCCCTGAAGTTTGGAATGAAAGCAGGAGGGAGGGAAGAAGGGTTTGCTGACATCCAAAATTAAAAAAGAGGAAGGGTTTTGTGACACCCAGGTCTTGGTTAACTACCACAGAGATACAGAGGCTTCCAGAGAAACAAGGGATGTTTCTTCCCTGTTCTGGATGTGCAAATACAGCAAACTAAAAACCAGACCCAAACCATATCAGGCTTCCCAAGAGGAAGGTCACATCCATAGGGCTGATGAAGGAAAAGCTCCCCAGCCACCAGATCTGGAGCTGCAACCCAAAACTCCCCATGGATGTGGGAAACAGTCTTTAGGATCTTAGGAGAAGAGAAGGCAGAGTCCAGCTGCTGTAGGAAGAGCTGAGGGAGGGTCATGGCCAAGCAGTGCCATGGAGGGCATCCAGCCAGCCAGGAGCCAAACCAAACCCTCCAGGAGAGTCCTTTTCCATAGGATAAGGAGACTTGAGGGTCTGGGAGAGCTCTTCCTTTCCCAGGACAGTGTTCTCTGGAACGAGCCTGTTCTCCGTGCAAACGCAGTCCCCTGGGCAGAGCTGAGGTGGGATGAGCTCTCCTGGGATGCAGGCAGGATGGAGCAGATCCCATCTTCCCTCCTGTAGCCCAGCACAGGGCTCACCAGTAATCCTCACGGCCAGGCAGATGGCAGTTTTAAAATTAATCTGGTTTTTGGCTTGGGGAGGTGTTTTTTAAATCTCTCCAATCCCATCTCCTCATCTCAGTCCCATCGGCATTGCCAGGCAGTCCAGTCCTTGCTAGTATGGAAAATACCAAGGCAGCAGCCTGGCCCGACCCCTAAACAGGAACAAAACCAACATCCTGAAGCACAGGGGCATGGCTCCCTGCTCCTTCAACCCTTTCCAGGGCGATGCCCACCCACCACTCCCCAAATTCCTGCAGGGACAGAGTGACAACTCCAAATTTCCAGGCATTCCTTCCTCCCAGAGCCCTTCTCCATTCTCCCAGCCATGTCAGGAGCCAACACAGGGGAGAGCAGGGAACCCTCCTGCTCCACACCTGGGGACCCCCCATGCCCACAGACTCACCTGTAGGTCCTCCCTCGCACCCTGGGCTGCTGCCCGTAGAAGCCTCCCCAGCGGCCCAGCCCTCCCCGGGCATGGAAGAAGCCCCGGTAGCCCCCACGGTCGGTGCTGCTGATGCCAGGCATGTTGGTCCTCTTGGGCAGCACCTGGAGAGTGGGGAGAGGCTGCTGGAGTTGGGATTTGGCACAGCCTCAGGCAGCCAGGGCTGGGAATGGGCAGGGAGCAGCCCCCGAGGGCAGCCTCAGCTCTCACCTTGATGACACGGCCCCTGAACACGCTCTCGTCCAGCTCCACCGCAGCCTTCACGGAGCTCTGCTCCTCAAACTCGATGTAGGCATAGCTGTGAGGGAATGGTGTGAGCAGAGCCCCAGGGACACCCTGGAGACCCCCAGCCCCCCCTGCACGCAGCACTGACCCTTTGGGGTGGCCCGAGAACTTGTCACAGAGGATGGTGACGCGGTTGATCTGCCCACAGCTGTTGAAGTGAGACTCCAGCTCTTCTGCTGTGCCCCCGTAATCCACCTGCAATGACAGCCCCCACCCTCAACTGGTGGGTGTGGGACCCACAGCCCACCACGGGAGGCAAAGGGTCCAGCTGGGCCCACTCACACCTCCCCAGCACAGCTCAGCCTCTCCCAAGGGCCAGGAGAGTGCTGAGTGCTCCCACCTGGAACACAAATCCAAGAAGGTTTTGAAGGAACAGGCAACACCACACAACCCACAGCTTCCAGGGGCCTTTTGGGGAGCTGACACTTGCAACAGATGAGCTGCAAGTGGCAAATAATGAGCCACATTCCCAGGCTGGGCAGAGGAAAAACACTTGGGATGGGAACAGCCAGGTTTTAGTGGGGGACAGATGGGCACCGTGCCAGGGGTTTGGGACACACACACCCAGCTGGGCACAGAGCAGGGGCTCCCACTTACATTGCCCACGTAGATGGAACGCTGGTCAGCCTCCACCTTCTCCTTGGTTGTCAGTGGGAAGAGAGCTGTGGAGAGGGGAGATTTGTCACGGACAGAGGGACATTTGTCTGTTCACAGCACAGCCAGCCCTGAGCTGACACACTGCAAAGCTCCTCAGATCCCTGGTCACAGGCAGGTGTATCCAAATCCTCACTCTGTTACCTCCTCCTCCAGCCCCTTGCCCCTTCTCTTTACACAGTGACTCCTCTACTGTGGCTGTTGGTACTAAACTTGATTACTTGACTGAATAAAGTGCAATTAAGTTAATTTACCACATCTAGGCCCACACAGGTAGGCAGTAAGAGCTGATGGGATCTGCATTAGCACCACACCAGGCCTAGGACCCCCTCACCCACCTTATGTGTCCAGTCCCAGGTACCCAGAGAGGCACAGCTAAATACTCTTGGCTCCAGTTGTCACCCTGTGCCCCAGAGGTGTCCCTGGGGAGGGACAACAGCACCCAGGGACAACCCATACCTGCTTCTGAGCTCATGAACAGGTGGTTATCGGCTTCCAGCTGCAACTCCTTCAACCTCTCATCCTCCTTCTCTATTTCCCGCAGTTTGGCTTTGATGGCCTCCAGCTCCTGAATCCCAAACCAAGAATTGCACAAGCAACACACGGAGCAGGGATCACCCCGGGTGTAAAAAGTTCCCCATTTCCTTTGGGCACCAGGGAAAACCGGTTCCCCATCCAGGCAGGCACTCACCGGGTCCTGAACATCCTGCTCCTCTGGCCTGTTCCCGTCCTGGGGGCTCGGATCTGAGCCCTCATCTGCTGCCTTACACACAGCTGCCACCTCTGTCGCGTCCCAGGACTCTGCCTCCGCTTTCAGGGGCGGTGGGTCCTGCCACCAGATCTCTGAAGTGTCCAGGAAGAGAGGACTGGGCGGGACAAGGGGCAAAAGGGCATTGAACCAACAGCGTAAAGCAACGTTTAACGTCTGAGCTAAAGCCCAACCTCAGCCGGGCAAAGGCTTGCAGGGCGTTTCCAGAAGGGTGAAGATGTGACATTAATGCAGCTGGTTCTCTGTGCAGCGCAACCCCAGAACCGCGAAGTGCAACCGAAACGTCTCCAGCTCGTACCGGACCGACTCCCAGTTCATGGGGGCTGCACAGGAGACCTGGAAGTAGCCGCCCTAAAGTGGAAAAAACCCCAGGGGCACACGCCCGGCGGGTAGGGAAGGGAGGTAGGGAAGGGAAAGGAGGCCACCAACCAGCAGAACCGCCAGGCTGCAGAGAGGGAGCAGCCGGGAGCGCTGCCTCCCGCAGCGAAGGCAGAGCCGCACCCTCCCAACCCCCGGAAGGCTCAAGGAGGGGCACGCCCTCCCTCCCAAGAGAAGGAGCCGTGGCGGCGGGGAGCAGGAAGGC